GGAGGGAAGTGCTGGGGGCGTGGACTAAGACTGGGGGCCGGCGGCGGCAGCAGGGAGCTGGGAAGCCGAGAAGCCGGGAGCGCGGGGCTCAGTCGGGGGGCGGCGGCGGCGGCGGCTCCGGGGATGGCGGCGGCTCCGCTGCTGCTGCTGCTGCTGCTTGTGCCCGTGCCGCTGCTGCCGCTGCTGGCCCAGGGGCCCGGGGGGGCGCTGGGAAACCGGCATGCGGTATACTGGAACAGCTCCAACCAGCAGTGAGTCGGGGGCCCTGGGAGCCCGCGCGTCCCACGTCAGTGAGAGAGGGAGCTGGTGGGCACGGGAAGTCCTGGGGGAACCTGGGGTGGGAGTCCTGGGAGACCAGAGCTGGGGGCTGGGAGGCGCGGGAGAGAAGGACGCACTCTGTGGGCGTCTGTGAAACTCGGGGGGTGTCTGAGAGCAGCTGTTGCGGTATGGTAAGGAGCGCTCGGGCCGTGCGGAGACTGCTGGGGACCCCCCCCCCCCGCATCTTGGCTTCTCTCCACACCCGCCGATGGAGAAGTGTGCCCCTGTCCCACAGTCCCCCCCATCCTCATTCCCTTCGGCGGGGCTGGGGTTTGGAGGTACCGATGTGTTGGGGATAGGCCGCCTCGTTTGGGAGCCCAGAGATGACCTGTTTTCAGCCATCAGGGTTTCAAGGAGTCCTGTCTAGGATTCCTGCTTTTAAAAGTGGGGTCCAGAGCTGAGGCAAGGAGTCCAACAGAGAACCTCCCCAGAACGAAGACGAGTGTGTTGCTCTGGCTGTGTGGATAAACCCGGCTGGGGTGAGCTGGGCCTGGGTTGCTGAGTTGGGGGACCCTGGGAGTGCTGTTCGGTTAGTATGGGAACGTGGGGTACCGGCAAGAGGGAAGGAGGCAGGGAGATGTCGGCGTGTCACACACGCACACACTCGCCCGGGCTGGGGACGACGTATGGCTCCAAGTGTGAGCAGGCGTGCGCGGCTGTCAGTGTGCGTGTGTGTCTGAGTGTGTGATTTGTGTGTCTGCGTCGGCGATCGTCTGGGGGTGGAAGCAGGCGGCGAGTCGGGGAAGGGGCTGCGGTCGGTGTCCTCGTGGCTGGCCGCGTCTGGGCTGGGGTGGCTGTTGGCGCCGCCGCGGTCTGGGCGGGTGTCAGGGCGGCCGTGTGGTTTCCCGGGGTGTGTGGCCCCGCGGCCGGGTGCCGGCTGCGGGGATGGGTCCTCATTCGCCTCAGTCCTCGCTGCCCTTGTCTTCTCCTCCCCGCCGAGCCTCCGTGTGTATCAGCCCGGCCTCAGTGTGTGTCTGTGTGTTGGTAGGGGGGATCCCTGGGGACGCGGGGGTCACTGTCACACCTGCCCGGGCGGTGGCAGCAACACTGTCTGTGGCTCCCCACCCCGGGCGGTGACTAGGAAGCAAATGGCGAGACCCCAGGGGAGGGAAGCAGGAGGGCCGGGCGGCCGCGACCCCCAACCTCCCGGGGGAGGGGCTGCCGCTCGCCGCTCCGCTCTTTGTTGTTTGGGGCTCCGCGCCTCCCCCTCTCTCTCCTCGCGCCCGGAGTGTCAGACTGGGGGTGGGGATGAGCCAATGACGCCCCCCTCTCGCTTCCCATGGAAACCTCGGGGGTGGGGATGCGGCCCCTCCCCCCACCCCGAGCGGGACTCCGAGAACTCCGGGGGGCGCTGGGGGTTGATTCCCCTGCTCTATCTAGCTTGTCTCCCTCCCCCGGACTCACACGTCTGCTCCCCGCCCCGCTAGAGTCTGTCGGGGAGTGGGGAGCTCGCAGGTGAGGGGCCCTGGATTCCCCGCTACCCTTGGGGCACTCCAGCTTTCTTAGGGGAAGCCAGAGTGGGGTATACGGGAATAGCCTTGGGGTGGTGTTGATCAGGTTCTCCTCCCCCGCATACACCTGGGCGCAGGTGAAAGCTCCGGGAGGGGGTGGGGAAGCCCGGGTTCCGGGAGCCTTCCTTTCTGTCCTCTCCACTCTCATGCGGGCCTGGACCCGCAGAGGTAGGAGGGGGCGCGCACCGGGCCAGGAGGCCTCCGCCGCCCCCGCCTCTCTTCCCCGGCCTTTGTTGCCGCTGCGCCCGGGCTCCCCGGCTCCCTCACTGCGGCAGCCGCGGCCCCATAAATCGTGAGAACGACGTGCTCCGGAGCCGGGAGTGGAGAGGGCCGGGGAGCTGGGGGCGGGGCTGGGCCGAGCCACAGGCTCCCGCGCCCCCTCCCCCCAGTCACGTGAGCTGGGCTTCTGGCTCCCACCACCCGTCACGTGCGGAGGGTCTCTGCCCTTTGGGGTCACGTGGGGAGGGTCTTGCGACCCCGCCTCCTGGGGTCACATGGGAGGGTGCTGGTGGGACACGTGCGACGGCCTCCTTTGACAGACCTGGGGGCAGTGCCCTGCACAGCAGCCACGACCTAGTCCTCTGTTCCCCCGCCCCCGCTCAGCCCCTCCGTTTAGTCCCTCGGGATAGGCGAGATCTGTTCTCAACCTGGCCCAGAAACTAGAGATGGGGGACTAAATTGGAGGGAAGCATGAGAGTGTGAGGTCGAGGGGTCCCCTGAACCCGGAATTGAATTTGGAGGCGGGTCGGCTGATGGCCAAATATATGCCTCCTGCCTGTGCTTCATTTCTTTGCAGAACTAAGCACGGGTGTTGGTATTGGCCCCTGGATCAAGAAGCCACAGGAACGTCTTTCTCTAGCTGTCACCCTGTCTCTTTATCTCTGAAATGTTTCTGTTGCTGATCTCTTTTTCATTCATACATTCACTGAATAAATATTTATTGAGGCTCTACTCCGTCCCTGATTGTCTTTCTCTCTGTTTTCTCCCAGTCACCGAGTCTCTGCCCTGCACCGTTCTGTGTCCCTGACTCTCCCCTTTGCGTCTCTCTGTCGCTGTCTCCACTCCCTGTAGGCCTCTGCGCCTCTCGCTTCTCCAAGTCTCTCCGTTCCCGTTCTCCTCCCTTCCCCTCTCGGCTTCTGGCTTCCTCTCTCTCGTGTGTCTCCCTCCCTTTCCCCTCTCCGTGAATCCGGTCTCTGTTCATCTGCCCTCTCGCTCGGTGTGTCTCTCCCTCTCCCTCAGTCTCTGTGTGTCTCGCTTTCGGCGGGTCTCTCGCTCCTCTCCGCCGCTGCAGATCAATAAACCTTCGCCGCCGCCGCCGCCGCCGCTGTCGCAGGGAGGAGGGGCGGGGGTGTCGGGCGCGCCGATTCTCCCCATTCGACTCGGCCGGGGGAGCCCCGGGCCCAGACCCAGGATGGCAAGACTCAGACGGGCGCCTGAGGGGCGCGGGGGTGTCAGCGTGCACACCCCGCCCGCGAGCGTTCCCGCCACCACCGCCCCCCACTTCCCAAGCCTGGGCGCGCGGACCCCACGCCGCGCACACGTGGTCCGGCCTCGCCTGCTGGAGCGGGCGGCGCGCGGCCTCGGGGGCGCGCGCTCGAGGGAAGAAGAACCCGGGTCCGGTCTTTTTACATTCCCCCCGCCATTCCCTCAACGGTGCACCCCCGCGTCTGAGGCCGGGGGCAGGGATTTAACAAGTTCAGGGCCGGAGCCCCGGGCCCAGACCCAGGATGGCAAGACTCAGACGGGCGCCTGAGGGGCGCGGGGGTGTCAGCGTGCACACCCCGCCCGCGAGCGTTCCCGCCACCACCGCCCCCCACTTCCCAAGCCTGGGCGCGCGGACCCCACGCCGCGCACACGTGGTCCGGCCTCGCCTGCTGGAGCGGGCGGCGCGCGGCCTCGGGGGCGCGCGCTCGAGGGAAGAAGAACCCGGGTCCGGTCTTTTTACATTCCCCCCTCCATTCCCTCAACGGTGCACCCCCGCGTCTGAGGCCGGGGGCAGGGATTTAACAAGTTCAGGGCCCCTTGAGATCCTTTCCCTACTCCCTGGTCTTGTTAGACATCGTGTTTACCTGCCCCTAATTGCCCCGGGGGGAGAGGTTTGCTCCTTCCCCGCTCCCCCGCAGCCCACCCCTCCCCCTCCGCAGACACTCAGGGCTGAGTGGGGCCAGGTGAGGGCAGGCGGGGCATTGAAGGAGAGAGAGAAGGGTCGGGAAGCGCCTCGGGGCGGTGCCAGCCGGGAGATACCGAAATAACGGGGTGAGGGGACACCCCCTCTAGATGGGGTGTGTCAACACTCGCCTTTCTGCGAGAGAGGTGGGAGGCTAGTAGGGGCTGAAGTCGGGGAAGAATAGAGAGCAGATTGAAGGGGCAGGGCACAATCCGGTCCCCAGATCCCAGCCCACGCCCGCCCACCACCCCCGTGGGGGGGATGCGGCCCTGGACGCGGGTTTCTCTGGGGCGTAGCGGCCCTTCCCCCTTCACCGCCAGGATGAAGGAGATGACAGATTCAATTAAATTGCCCAAGCCAAGCAGGAACCTCAGGTCACCCAGGAGTTGTGGCTAGGGATTCCTGGCACCCAGCCTTTCTGCCCCCTGTCCACCAGATACCAACTGGGCGCAACCATCCCACCAGCAGGTCTTTCTCCCACAGGCCCAGCTGTGGGGAGTATTTCAGGGACTGTTCCTGCCACCCAGCACAGGGACAGGTAAGAGGTGGCTTCTCTTCACTTGTGATAGGCCAGCAACTTCTTTTATAAGGCCAATGGCACCCCCCTGAGGAAACTGAGGTACCTGTAGGAATACCTCTGGAGTTGGCTTGCTCCCTGCTTGAATGGGTTGTGTTGTAGGGGGACTGGGCGGTGCACCAGGGAGGGGCTACTTTCAAAGTGGGACTGGAAACGTGGGTGAGGCTCCAGGACAGAGGCCCCAGTGTGGTTGTGCAGCTGCTCCAGGCCTGGCACCCTACCATGTGCGGCCCCCTCCCCAAAGCCTGAGGGGAGGAGCAGGAGACTATAGGGTTGGGGATGAACTGGTAAGCTTGGGGTGGTGTCTGGGAGCCAGGCCTGGTCTAACCCGTTTTCCTGCTCCCAGCGCCCCAGGCCGAGACTCCTGCCCACCTGAGTGCCAGGGCCAGGGAGGGGCCTGAGTGACCCATCACTCCCATGGGAACCAAGTGGGGCTGGTGGCGTTCCTGATGATTCAAGGAGGCCGTGCCCATTCTTACTGGGGTGCCCAAACACCAGCTCTCACCTATTTGCCTTACTGCCAGGATGGAAAGAGGGCCTTGGGGTGAGGGAGCACAGGCCAAGCCAAGGAGGTAGGGTAAGGTAGGGAGGGACCCTCTAGGCCCCACCCCATACAGAGGCCTCCAAGTTCGTTTCCCTAATGGATCTAATTACTATTTGTGGAACTGGGTGGTGCCTGGTGACTTGGGGAGCCAGTCCCCTCAGGGAGTTCCCAGGGACTGGGGACCCCAGTGGATTGATATTTTGCCAAGTACCCCATGCCTCCCCTGACACACCATACTCCCCTCTCCCTGCCAAGATGTGTACATTCTTACCCTAAGGACATTAGGGAAAACCCGTGCCCACTTCTCTGAGTTTCTGTCTCCATTCAGTGGTTTCTCCAATCTCCACACCACTCAGGACCACCATCAAGGTTGTTAAGACCAACACCCTGATGGTGACTAGCAAGGCAGGTGGGGATCCAGCAAGGGACCCAGCATCCGTTTCCCTGTCCCAAAGAGAGATGAGGGAAGTAAGAGGCAGAGCCATCTTGTCTGGGCACTGTACCCACTACTCCTCCTAGCATCATTAAGGGGGGCAGTGATGCCTGGGTTGAGGAGGGAGGTGCATAATGAGACAGGTTCTGGCTGGTTGGCATGATGCCACGTGGAGCCTTGGTGTTGAGTCCCTTAGCTCTCTGATCTGTTGTGTCAGGTTATTGGGGACCTAATTGTCTATAGCCTCGGGGTGGAGGTCAGCGGGACTCAAGGTACAGAGGCGAGCGATACTGTAGTGTGGGAGGGCAGGGAGAGAGCCTGAGATTGCTGGGGTCAACCAATACTGGTATGCGGTCCACCACACATAAAACCTAGCTTTCCTATGTGTATGCCGCCTCTGAGTGGGCGGTGGACATATTTGTGTGTGTGCCATAGAACTTATGCATGTAGATGCATGAAGCCGCCGTACATGCGAATGTGAGGGCAGGTCCTGTCGGACGGGCCTAGGCGGTGTGGACCGGCAGCAGCAGGGAAGCATGCCGGGAGAAGCGATGGAGGGTGCTTGTCCCTCGGAAGGGATCCCTCCCACTTTCACCTTCGCTTCCATCCCCTCTATCCTTCCTCCCGGCTGGAGAATTATGGGGGATGGACGGAGGAAATCCGGGCCTGGGTCTTGGAGTCGCTGGGGCCTGCGCCGTTTCCGTGGCAACCGAAGCGTATGTTCCCTTCTTCCCTCCGCCCCTCTCCCTACCCTCCTTTCCTTTGGAGGCAGGCAGGGCTACCCTGCGCCTTTGCTACCCTCTGGTGGCCGCCAGGGGAAGGACATATCAAGAAGGAGAGAGCACGGAAGATTAGCGCGGGGACCGGCGGCACTAGGGCCCTGGGGACAGACAGGGGCTGAGAAGAGAGGAAACTCGGAGGGAAAGTCGGGAGGCTCCGCGGACCCTGGGGAAGGTCTGCGGAGCGGTGAGGTGGAAAGCGGGTTGGCTTTGGGGTTTCTTCTCTCTGACCCGCTTCCTTTTCCCACAGCCTGCGGCGAGAGGGCTACACGGTGCAGGTGAACGTGAACGACTATCTGGATATTTACTGCCCGCACTACAATAGTTCGGGGGTGGGCCCCGGGGCGGGGCCGGGGCCCGGGGGCGGGGCGGAGCAGTACGTGCTGTATATGGTGAGCCGGAGCGGCTACCGCACCTGCAACGCCAGCCAGGGCTTCAAGCGCTGGGAATGCAACCGGCCGCACGCCCCCCACAGCCCCATCAAGTTCTCGGAGAAGTTCCAGCGCTACAGCGCCTTCTCGCTGGGCTACGAGTTCCACGCCGGCCACGAGTACTACTACATCTGTGAGTGACGCCTGGGAGGGCGGGGCCTAGAAGTTAGTGTCTGAGTGACAGCCAGCGGGTGGAGTCCCGTGGGTCCGGGGGCGGGCCGATGCGGCTGTCGCGGGGTCTCTGGCTAACAGTGATACCCCGGGATGAGGCGTGGGGACTGGGTTTCAGCTCAGGCGGGGTTGTGAGGCTAAGAGAGGGGTTTGGAGACAACCCCAAGTTTGGGCCGCAGAGTCACTGATTCTGAGGGACATTCCGGGGTCGGGATCAAAGGGGCTTCTAGGGCTGAGGGCGGAGCCACAGACACAAATGTCCAAAGGGTAGGGGATCTACTGAAGGAAACTGCCCAAGGGAGGGGCAGTTTGGAAGGGGTGAGGACAGTTTCTGAGTGAGGGCGCAGGGCACAAATTGATCGAAAGCGACTCAGGCCCAGTCTCCTCCCCAGCCACGCCCACCCACAACCTGCACTGGAAGTGTCTGAGAATGAAGGTGTTCGTCTGCTGCGCCTCAAGTGAGTAAAACCGGCTCCCAGCCGTGCCCTTATCCTCGGCTCCCCTGCTTTGGGGCTCTCCCGGCTTCCTGGGGGTGGGTGCGGAGGGCACAGGCGAGGGGGGCTTGCTCCCCAGCTATAGCAGAGGGAGGGGATCCTGGCCCTGACTCTCCCCTCCTCTCTCCCCACCCGCACCCCACCCCGCAGCATCGCACTCCGGGGAGAAGCCGGTCCCCACTCTCCCCCAGTTCACCATGGGCCCCAATGTGAAGATCAACGTGCTGGGTGAGTCTGCGCAGCGCCCTCTGGTGGCCACTGCTGGAACCGCAGCCCCCTCCCTCTGCCTGCTCATCTCGCATGCCTTACCCCGGGGGCACCGATCCTTCCTGCCCCCGTGGGTGGTCACATCCCTGGCTCCACTGCTGCTGCCGCTGCCGCTGCCGCGTGCCCCTACCCCGGCGCGTAGCCCAGCCCTCACCAGTCTGTCTATTCATCTGTCCACAGAAGACTTTGAGGGAGCGAACCCCCAGGTGCCCAAGCTTGAGAAGAGCATCAGCGGGACCAGCCCCAAGCGGGAACACCTGCCCCTGGCCGTGGGCATCGCCTTCTTCCTCATGACACTCTTGGCCTCCTAGCTCTGCCCCCTCCCTTGTCGGGAGAGTCGGGGCGGGGCCGCGAAGGAGTGGGAAGCTTTTGGCCTCTCTGCAAGGGAAACCTAGCCGGGGCCTAGACCCCTCTTCCCATGGCTGGAAGTGGGGTCAGCACCATACATCTGTGCTTGTCCCCTCTGCTCCCTTCCCCCCGGTAGGGCACTATAGTGGACCAGGCACAGAGACAGCCTTGGATCCCAGGTAGCCTTGTGGCTCTGGTAATGTTTGGTACCAAACTGGGGGCCATTAAAGGGCAGTGCTCAGGACTCCCTGCCCCTTGGTACCTTTTCTTGACCCCTGGTGTCCTCCTCGTTTGTTCCCCTAGAGAGACAAATATGCCCCAGAGAGAGCAAATCGAAGCATAGGAGGCACCCCCATCACTGTCCTCCAGGGGCAGAACATGGGGAGGGGACTAGATGGGCGAGGGGTGGCACCGCCCGCCGCCCCCTTCCCCTGTTTACAGCAATAAGCACGTCCTCCTCCCCCACTCCCACTCCTACTCCCAGGACTGTGGTTTGGATTGAATCCAAGTTTACAAGTAGAAAACCCTGGTGGGGCGGGCAGTGGACAAGGATGGCAAGGGGTGGGCATTGGGGTGCCAGGCAGGCATGTACAGACTCTATATCTCTATATATAATGTACAGACAGAGTCCCTCTCCCTCTTTAACCCCCTGACCTTCGACTTCCCCTTCCAGCTTCAGACCCCTTCTCCACCAGGCTAGGCCCCCCCCACCTGGGGGACCCCCTGGCCCCTCTTTTGTCTTCTGTGAAGACAGGACCTATGCAACGCACAGACACTTTTGGAGACCGTGAGACAATAACGCCCCCTCCCTTCCAGCCCTGAGCCAGGAACCAACTCCCAGGACCTTGCCCTGCCTACCCTATGTGGTCCCCACCCATTCTCCTGGGCCTTTTTCAAGTGCTTTGGCTGTGACTTTCATACTCTGCTCTTAGTCTAAAAAAATAAACTGGAGATAAAAATAACTGAGTATGTGTGATTTCAAGGGGCCATCACCCTTCTATTATTCTGGTTAAACCTCGCAGGTCACAAGGCCTGGGGAGGAGGAGTGGGTTCTAGGACCAAAGAGTCAACTTAACACCTTGTTTTGTGGCTTTTCTCCTTTAAGAAAGGCAGTTGTGTGTGGAGAGAGCAGCAGGGGCTTCCATGCTGGGCCTGGTTGATTTTGAGCAAATCATTTACTCTCTATGAGCCTCAGGTATCCCATCAGAAAAACTGGGCTGTAATATATCTCTGTCAAGGTTGGTGAGGATTAAATAACATTGGGAGTTAAAGGCTCAATGAGTGATGGTTCTCTTCTTTTCTTCCCATTCCATTCTGTAATCAGAGGTTCTTGACTGGGGTCTATGGATTTTAGGGGGTTTGTGAACCTACATAGGGAAGAAATTACATCTTTATATTCATTTACCTGTAGCTGAAATTTAACATTCTTTTATGTACTTGGGCAACAAGCCACAGTAGTATTAACTGTACCCGTGACATTGTAACCAACAGAAATCACAGATGTTTTCAGACTGCACTATAGTCGTTGAATATATCTCAAAATATTTACGCTCATCACTACTTTGAAATGATCATACTTGTTAGACCTTCCTCATTTTTAATGTGTTAATAAAAAGCATATATATTACTATACCAAAAAATGTAAATGTTTCGGTAACTGTGTTTCAATATAATTGATTACCTTTATAACCTTTTGTAATTTTATTCATTTAAGAACATTATGCCCAAGGGCTGGGAGTTGGCTGGAGCTGGGGCTGCACATAACTTCAGCACCCCTCATTCATCAGGAGAGTAGAGGGGAGAGAATGCCAAAGATGGGAGAACGGGTGAAACGGTCAAAGACCACTTCTCAGGAAGCCAGGCTGGGTGAGTTCAGAGCTGTATGTGCAGGCTCTATGTAAGGGGATGGGGATAGGGGCTGAAATGTACCTGGGACTTCACTTGCAGAGCCAAGTGCACTGGCCCAGAAAGACGGTGCCCTTCTGTGTGAGGAAGGGATTAAAGTATAATGCACTCTGAACTGAGAAGTTACCTTGAGACTGAAGAAGGAAGCAAATTCCAATTTCCAATTCGGTAATTGGAAATATCTATTACAGGAGTGACTTACATACAGGAAATCTGCACACAGCAAAGAATCAGACTTCTATAGTAGATGAGAGCTCTAGCTCTCTGGGTTTAGGCAAAGGACATATAGCAAAAGCTCTGTTACTAAGTATAACTTCAAGGAAACATCTTAAGAAAAATAAGTTGATAACATCATTCACCAGGTATCCTGTGATCTGTGAGGCAGGGGGTCTTGTGATGCGAGTGCTCAGACCACTGACGCCACCTGCATTCACTCCCAGAAAACTATGTTCCATTTAGAGCTTGCCCTAGGGTTGATGTATAACTGGTCAGTGAAACAAAGGAATGAGGTCAAGCAGGAGTCAGCTTGGTGGGCGGGGTGCAAAATGCATTACTTTTGTTCACTCTCTAACACCTTCTAATTGCCAAACTGTGCACCCATGGGACTCTGTCCCATCCAGGTTCTCTAACTGGCACTGTGAGGACAGGCTGGATCCTGAGTCAGTGCGCCTCCTGTGTTCCCCTGTGGCTCTTGCCAGCTGCATTGTGAGAGTGAGCCCTTGGAAGCAGGGCCTGTGTTTTGTCCCACTCTGTACCCATAAAACCTGGGAAATGGAATCTCAGCTGGACTCTGGAGAGTGAGTGGGATAGCAGAACAGGGGGGAGTGGTGGGTGGGAGGGTAGGCAGGTAGGGAAAGAACCAGGGGCAGCCAGTGGACCAGTATGAGACTCCCTACTGGAAGATAAGACTGAAAATGTAGGCTCATTCATCCAATCCTCTATGTATTCAATCGGCATTTACTGAGCACCTGCTGAGTGCCATGCTCTATCTTGGGAACTAGGCATACAAAGATGACAGAGCCTCTACCCTCAAATAATCGCATAATTTAGTATGTGTTCAAGTGTAAGCAGAAGTCAGTAACACACACACACATGCTTGATGATATATGCCAGGGGCTGTGGGAACACCAAGGGGAAAGCACACCATTGCCTGGGGACATAGGAAGGGGGCTTCAGGGAGGAGAAGGTACATACACATAACTAGGGCCCTACTGGGGAGAGTCTTGAAGGCCTTGAAGGCTGGGGAGTGGAGATTTGTCCCATGAGGGAGGCGTAGTAGTGGGCCTAGGCTGCAGGCTCCCTCAAATCCCAGGGCCAGGTGGGGCCTGGCCAGCAGGAATGGGGAGGGCCTTGTGGATTCAAAACTCCGGGAATGGTAGGACTGTGAAAGGCCAGGCATTTGGGGGCAGGAACTAGAACAAGGCAACTTCTATTTACTGAACACCTACTATATGCCAAGCACTGTGCCCTTTTAAGCCTCACTATTCCAGTAACACAGATGGGGATCTAAGAGACTGTGTCCCTTGGCTAGGGTCGCACAGCCTGGTAGGTGGTAGGGCTGGCATTAAAGTGGGTCTGAAGGACAGCCCGTGGCTCACTTGGGAGATTGTGGTGCTGATAACACCAAGGCCACGGGTTCGGATTCCTATATAGGGATGGCCGGTTAGCTCTCTTCGGAGAGCGTGGTGCTGACAACACCAAGTCAAGGGTTAAGATCCCCTTACCAGTCATCTTTTATAAAAAAAAAGAAAAAAAAGAAACTTTGCCCCCACTGTGACTCTTAAGATGGGAAATCCTATTATGGTCATCGAAAGGTAAAGCCTTGAAGAGGTGATTGGATTGTAGGACCATGAAGTAGTGAATGGATTAAAAATGGTGGTCATGGGTGTGGTTCTAAGGGCTTTAAAAGAAGAGGAGTCTCTCTCTCCTCTCCCCTCCTCTCCTCTCTCTCCTTCAACCACCTTACAATGTGAGACCCCTGAGTCACTGTCACCATCACCAGATGGACTTTGGACTTCCCAGCCTCAGAAACGGTAAGCAATAAATGTAGTTTTTCTTTATAAATCACCCAGTCTCAGGAATTCTGTTATAGCAACACAAAAGCAGACTAATACAGAAAATTGATACCAGAGAAGTAGGGTGTTACTTGAGAATGTGAAAATGGCTTTGGAACTGGGTTTTAAGGAGAGGTTGGAGGAGTTTGGAGGACTCAGAAGAAGACAAAAAGACAGGGAAAGTTTGGAATCTCTTAGAGACTGTTTATGTGGTGGTGAGCAGAACACTAATAGAAATATGGACTGTAGGGGGCCGGCCCGTGGCTCACTCGGGAGAGTGCGGTGCTGATAGCACCAAGGCCACGGGTTCAGATCCCTATATAGGGATGGCCGGTTCGCTCACTAGCTGAGCGTGGTGCTGACAACACCAAGTCAAGGGTTAAGATCCCCTTACCAGTCATCTTTAAAAAAAAAAGAAAGAAAGAAATATGGACTGTAAAGACCATTCTGAGGAGGTATCTGACAGAAATAAGAAGGAATTTATTGGAAACTGGGACAAAGATCACCTTTGCTATGAACAACTAGCAAGGAACTTGACTGTATCGTGTTCATGCCCTAAGACTTCGTGGAAGTTGGAACTTAAGAGTTGTGAGCCAGAGCATTTGGTGGAAGAAATTTCTTTTTTTTTTCTTTTTTTTTTTTAAAAGATGACCGGTAAGGGGATCTCAACCCTTGGCTTGGTGTTGTCAGCACCATGCTCAGCCAGTGAGCAAACCGGCCATCCCTATATAGGGATCCGAACCCGTGGCCTTGGTGTTATCAGCACTGCACTCTACCAATTGAGCCACGGGCCAGCCCTTAAAGCCAGAATTTAAAAGGAAAGCAGAGCATAAAGATTTGGAAAATTTCGGGCCTCCCCGGTGGCGCACTGGATAGTGTGCCGCTTGGGAACGGATCCCACATACAGACCGGTTCCCGCTCACTGGCTGAGCGAGGCGCGGGAGCAACACCGAGGGTTGCAATTCCGTTGCCGGTCCCCGGTCCGGTACGGGGGCAACACTGAGGGTTGCGATCCGTTGCCAGACACGGAAAAAGACAAAAAAAAAAAAGATTTGGAAAATTTGCAGCCTGGCCATTTGGTAGAGAAGCAGAGAGCATTTTCAGAAGAAAAATTCAATGGCACTAAGAAGATTAACACAAAAGTACGGGATTATCAAGAGGAGGGGAAAAGGCCCTGAAGGCATTGCAGAAGCCTCTGGGGCCACGCTTCCATTTCAGGCTCAAAGGCCTAGGGAGACAAAATGGTCTTGGAGAACAGGCCTGAGGCACCTTCAAAAAGTTCACTGCTCAGGGCCACCTCAGGAAGCTGCTTCTAGCACCAGCACCCCAGCTGCTTTGGCTGCTCCAGCCATGGCTAAATTGACCCTAGGCGTGGCTAGACATGCAGTTTTGGAAAATACAAGCTGGATGGCTTGGCAGCATCTACATGGTGTTAGGTCTGCAAGCTCACAGAATGCCAGAGCTGGGAAGGCTTGGGAGCCTCCACCCTGATTTCAAAGTATGTATGGAAAAGTCTGGGGGCTTAGGAAGAGATCTGTCACAGGGGCGGAGTCACCACAGACAACCTTCACCAGAGCAATGCCAAGTGGAAACGTGGGGTTGGAGTTGCAGCAGAGAAACACCATCAGTGCAACGTCTAGTGGAGCCATGAGAGCGGGACTACCATGGAGACCCCAGACCTGTGGAGCTACCGATGTGCAACACCAGCATACAAGAGCTAAAGCATCACCTGAGAGCAGGAAAGCCATAGTAGCGGAGCTGCCAGAGGACTTGGGGACCCAATCCCCACACCAGCATGCAGAGGACGTTGAACATGGAGTCGAGTTACAAGATTCACCAGCTTTGAAATTTAATGCCTGCCCTGCTGGGTTTCAGACTTGTTTGGGACCTTTTTCTCCTTTCTTTTGGTCTATTTCTCCCCCCCCCCTTTTTTTTTTTTTGTTTTGTTTGTTTGTTTGTTTTTAAAAGATAACCGGTAAGGGGATCTTAACGAAATTTAATGCCTGCCCTGCTGGGTTTCAGACTTGCTTGGGACCTTTTTCTCCTTTCTTTTGGTCTATTTCTCCCCCCCCCCTTTTTTTTTTTGTTTTGTTTGTTTGTTTGTTTTTAAAAGATAACCGGTAAGGGGATCTTAACGAAATTTAATGCCTGCCCTGCTGGGTTTCAGACTTGCTTGGGACCTTTTTCTCCTTTCTTTTGGTCTATTTCTCCCCCCCCCCTTTTTTTTTTTGTTTTGTTTGTTTGTTTGTTTTTAAAAGATAACCGGTAAGGGGATCTTAACTTTGTTTGTTTGTTTTTAAAGATAACCGGTAAGGGGAT